AATAACTGATAATTGACCATTTGTGACCAGATAGATGGATGTTTCGGACAGATGAGAAGCCTTTAAGTTGTGGGCCTACAGAAGGATATCAAGAATAAGTTGGGTAGATAGAGTCACGAATGTCGAGGTGTTGAGAAGAATGGGAAAAGATAACGATGTCTTAAATATAGTAAAAGTCAGAAAACTGAAGTATCTGGGATATGTTATGAGGGGAGAGCGTTAAAACTTGTTGCAATTAATAATGCAAGGAAGAATACAGGGTAGAAGGAGTCGCGGAAGACGACACATCTCCTGGTTAAACAATTTGAGAGTTTGGTTTACTGCACTTCTGCTGACCTCTTTAGAGTAGCGGTATCGAAAGTGCGAATTGCCATGACGGTTGCCAACCTTCTTAGAGGAGATGGTACATGAAGAAGAAGAAGACCAGATAGCAGAATACAAACACCGTACAGGTGTAATACAAAAAAATGTATTATCAGTTTCTAATTTTGTTCTGATTATTTTTATTTAATAAATTTCAGTACAATTTCAGTAAAGAAGAATTAATCATACTACAAATAGGTCTAAGTGATGTATTCGCTTTATGAATTTTCGGTGCTCCATAGAAATAAGATATATTTACTGTTTTTAAAAAATCTATCGAAATCTTCATTAGAGAATTTTAAAAGCTTACCTTTGTTAGAATACCGTGCAATAAGGAATTTGTCGGAGGCGGTGTCGATGTAGGTACTGGATGAACTGTCACTTCGGGATATGGTGGAGGTGGTTTGATGGCATTTTGAATCAGTTCGTTTCGCTCAGTCTGAGATAATTTGGCAAATTGTAGTAACATATCCTTGAAGGAGACCGTGTCTTGAGGATTCGAACCAGTTGAGTCTGCATTTTGTAGCTTACTGATGGCTTCTTGCTTACTCTAAAATTTTAAAATAAATGTTTATAGTGTTTAGTGAAAATACGGTGATCCACAAAATTAGCAGATCTGTTTTTTGGTGAGCTTTATTTTTTAGGAACAATGCTACCAAGTGAATTTAGTTTTAATATTTAAACAATAAAGATGAAAAATAAATGTTAAGCTCAAGCCCAAGCTGGTTTTGTAAATATGAGAAACGTACTTTGCATTGGAATAACAAATTGCATTGGAATATTGTTATATCTTTCCAGTGCTGCTATATGAAGTGGAAGCGAATGGAGGCGAATAGCCAGATAAGTTTATTCTTAAAAGAAAAATATGTTCCATAGGACAAAAAACAGCGTTTATAACTGATACATTAAAAAATCTTACCATATTGATACTATTCAACAGAAGTCCAAGGTCACTGCTAACATCCCCTTGTCTCATTTGAGATCCACTGCCTAACGCCATCGACGAAAAGTTTATAATACTGTTTCCAAATTTACCCCCTTCACCTTGTCTAATTCTCCTCCCTCTTCGCGGAACCGTTTCGGGATGTCTCTGTCTGTAATCAGCAATAATGGATTGCACATCTAAGGTAAGTCTTTTGCCTTGTTTGTCAAGAGCGCCATTGAGATCCAGATTGCACTGTGGTTTCGTTAAAAGAGATTTTTGTCTGATTATATTACCGTTAGCTCCGGAAGAAGGCATGTATGGTTTGCTGGAGCTTGTTAAATTTGATTTTAAAAGACTTTGAGGTAAACTGTTTCTTATCCTCTCATCAATACTGCCATTTTGAGATTCGTTTAAAATTTCACTGTAGTCAGATTTCTCGTTGATGACCAAAATTTGCTTTTTTCTTTGCATTCGAAGAAGGAGCTCTTCTTTAAGTTTCTTTAAATGGATGATATTGTTCCACTCTCTTTCTTTTTCTTTGGCAAATTCGTTTAGAGTTTTGATTTCTGCTAGTAGTTGATCACTGAATGATTTAATCTGTTCCAGATTGCTGCAATCGGCCATTTCAATGAAGTCGTTTATGATTTTATCTCTAGATTGGAAGTTATCTTGAATTTCAGCTCTCAGTCTTTTTACAGGATATTCTTCACTTTCGGATTTTCTTTTATTGGTTTCGGCATTTGGAGAACTACTATTACTGTAGTTATCATCTTGAATTTCGCTGGAATCAGGTTCTTCTTTGACACCGTTAGAAACAGTTTCTAATTTGTTTTTATCTTGGAAATCTTCTTTAATTTGTTGACTTTCGTTTTCGTTATCACTTGAAGGCTTTTTATCTGGTTCTTCTAGGCTTGATTCATTTTTGTTTATTATTTCTTGATCTCGCTCTTCTGCATGGCCGGGCGACGAAGGTTGCACATTGCAACCTTCTACCACACTTTCCATAATCTGCATTTTATTCAAGCTGAAACAAAATAAATCCATTAGCATAATATAAATAGTAATTAATTTAAAATATAATTAAAAAAACCTGTTATTTTTTAAGACAAAAACATTTTGTGATGAAAAAAAAAAATTTAGTGCGCAGTTGTATTTAACTAAGAATAATGTAATCAGTTATTCAAATCATGAATGTGTTGCTTGTGTGAGTCCATTTCAAATAGGTAAAGAAATAATAAATAAGACTTACTCACAATCAATTTAATTTAACTATCAGACGACCGGTTTCGCTTTCTACAATATGCAAAGCATCTTCAGGTCTCGATACAAAGTTAAATAAATGCCGAAATGATAAAAACCCATATTAGGGTGTTGTTTAATAAAGATAAACAAATTAGATGTTGTAAATTACAATAATTATGCCAATATTACATGTCTGTGGTTTTATTTCAAAATGAGTAAATTGAATAAAAAGGTGTAGAAAGTTTTAAAAGTTTAGACAGCCAAGGTAAGACCCACAAATTGTTATAAAATAGTCTATTAGATTGTAATAAATTAATAAATGAGCAAATAAATAAACATTACTTACATGCCGGTACTCTATTAATTGATGGATGGTAGAACATGGTTGAAACTACTATGTATTGTTGAATGGAGAACTCAATTCTGCTATTGTAGTTGTTTAACAGTAAACGGGAAGTTCTTGAGGAGATAGATTTGATCCAATGAAGCAGAGATATGTGTGTGATTGTTTGTTAAATGAAAGTGATGTTATATACCACACTTAAAAAAAATTAATAATACAATGGTATATCTCTGCTTCATTGGATCAAATCTATCTCCTCAAGAACTTCCCGTTTACTGTTAAACAACTACAATAGCAGAATTGAGTTCTCCATTCAACAATACATAGTAGTTTCAACCATGTTCGACATGTAAGTACCGGCATGTAAGTAATGTTTATTTATTTGCTCATTTATTAATTTATTACAATCTAATAGAATATTTTATAACAATTTGTGGGTCTTACCTTGGCTGTCTAAACTTTTATAACTTTTTACACCTTTTTATTCAATTTACTCATTTTGAAATAAAACCACAGACATGTAATATTGGCATAATTATTGTAATTTACATCTTTACATTTCACCATTTATTTAACTTTGTATCGAGACCTGAAGATGCTTTGCATATTGTAGAAAGCGAAACCGGTCGTCTGATAGTTAAATTAAATTGATTGTGAGTAAGTCTTATTTATTATTTCTTTACCTATTTGTAATCAGTTATGTTTATAGTGGAAATATGGTAATATTTCTCTTCCACTAGGAGAATATACCTCTATATTTCAGGCAGAGATGTATGCAATCTTGCATTATGCAAGAGAAATTAACATCATTTCTTTCGAACTTAACCCTTTCATGCCCAGAACTATTTATGCTTATTTTTTACTTTTTGAAAAACTTATGCTCTAAGTCACATAACAAAAATATATGTTTAAAACCTATTCCCTACGATCTTAAAAAATCAATTAGTTTCATAGAGGTGAAATAATTATCAGCATATAAGCAATGAGGCATAACCCTATCGCATTGAATTTTAGGAATAAGTTAAGCAAACTGCAATGTTATTCTACCTCCAAGGCCAAATTCTTTTTTGTATTCATTGGATTTTCCCTTGGCTCCTTGATAAATATTGAGATCTATGAGGGAACTAGATTTCTGATTCCTACACCACCATTTTTGCCCAAAGCGTCTGGGCTTGCCTTTTATATGTTGTTTCATATAATATACTATGACACCCATAGTATAGTATCATCGCCTCATCCAGGCTAGATTCAGTTTCCCATAGAGTGTATTCAGTAAATGATTTGCGGAGACTTTCAAGGTACGGAGAAATTTTGTATGTTTTGTTTGAATGATCTATGTTTAAGTTATCGTTAAAATGGAGGAATCTTATAATGGTTTCAAATCGGTTACGATGCATGTTACTTGAAATCAGTATATTTTTAACGCCATCAGATTCTTCCCAGTACATGTGTCTTCTTGGATTCGTACTGTATCCACTAACTAGTAAAATCCCTATAAAAGCTTCTAACTCCAAATTCTAAAGTAGTACCTTTTTGAAAAGCCTAACCAACTGTCTCCTTTACAATATTTGTTAAAAGCTCTTCATTGAAAAAAAAAACAAAGATGTGTGAAGGAGTAAGTGGTCGTGAATAAAATGAAGGGTATTCCATTGGGTTTTTTTATGTTCAATATCCAAATAAAGGAACTTTTTATCTGGTAAATCTATATATATATATATATATATATATATATATATATATATATATATATATATATATATATATCCGGTTTTTTAGGCGTTACGCCCGTCCGGCGTAACGCCCGGTAGGGATCTATGGAGGAGTATCACCAAGCCGCAAGCCCTTATCTCTTGCCGTACTGCTCCACCATAGGCCGATCAGATCCTAGCATATCCTAGTCTAAGCCGCAGATTCATCTAGAATTTTAAACTGCTGCGTTAGACTTTTTGTTTTCAGTACACCGAGCTGGGGCTCGAACGCACATCCACTGAACCATTCGACAGTGAAGCGAATGAGAGGCAGCCGCACAGCCCGCTGAGCTATCTGACCGACATCTGGTAAATCTCCCTGAATTAATTTCCGTGGTAGGAGAGTTACACTTTTTGCACGAATCTCAGTAAATGTCACTTGAACATCTTGAATTTTTTCATTTTGTGTCTCTATTTCCGTTTCTATCTCAATATCTTCCGTATCTTCTTCTTCCTGAACTTGTGTCACACGTTGAAGATCTGCTTCTTTTTCGTAGAGATTTATATTTTCTTCGTAGATGCTTTTGTCTTCTTCTTGATGAATTACAGTTTCTGATTCCGCATCCAACATATTTTTGTTTAGATTATTGAATGTTCCTCCACAGTCTTCATCTACACTATCTTCAATAGTCAATTCAATGGGGTCAGGAAGTACTAGAAAAACATCTGCACTAGAAGCCGACTCCATAAGGTTCGATTCTTCCAGCATGGACGTAATTTTATGTGCCCTTAATTCGTAAAAAGTTTTTTTAAGACGACTATTATTACTAGTACGACCGAAACTGGTCGAGTCAAGTTGATTTGATATCTTATTTCTAAATAGAACAAACATATTTTCTAGAACAAAAATATTTTATGTACTAATATTATGCCTTGTGCCCACTGTTGCGAAACCGCAACACTGATATTTTGTAGTTGTACTAACTAACAGATGAAATATTAGCACTTACTTTTTTTATCCAAATAAACCTAACCAAATTTTTATCCAGTTAATCTATACACATATGACTTACTACTAACTATAAACACATGTTCATAAAAATTAACCTACTGTTGTGAAATAAATCTGAACTTTAACTGCCCAAATAAGTCATATCATTTTCCAAAAGATTACGCCATAGTTTTCTACGTCAACTGTTGCGAAAACGCAACACTGGGCACTATTGGGTTAAGCAGATCAATATATGCGCAGATAGTTAAGTGGCTTTAGAGGCTCTAAGTTGGACTCTAGGCTAGTTTTAACTCTAAGGAGGCTTTATGTTCAATGGAGAAGGTAAGAAGCTGGGGGATTATGATGATGCAACTGTTGCACTTTATAACGAATTTATCACGTAGGAAAATCCGATAATTAAAAAAGTAATATTAGGAATTGAAAAGAGAAAGGAATTTCCAAGGCATTGGACAGACGTAAATGGAAGGAACTGCTTAAGAAATGTAAATAGTAATTGTAATGGTAAATGTAAACTTTTCAGCTATTAGGCCTGTTATACTTTAAAAATAAATACTTTTATATGTATTATATCCTGTTATAATTTTCACACTATACCGTAAAACGGGGTTACATTGAACCCGAGGGTTACATTGAACAGTTTTGGAATGAAGATTATATTTTTCTACAAGTTGGCCTAAACTTTTTTTTGGGGCCGATATATTTTTTTGAGGGTTGCAAATATGTTTTTCTTGGACTTCCTGATAAAATTTCTGGCAGGTTCTCAAAATTAACAAAAATGAAATAAAAAATGGTTTCTGAAACAAAAGGTAGTAAAAAAAAATCTCTCAAACTTTGGTCTGCAGCCGGCGATATGCAAAAGATATCTTCTCATGGCTAATTTTACACGATACTAGTACCTATTTGAACCTTATTCTACATAATACCGTAAATGATTAGGGTTTTGGATATTTTTAATTAATTTATACAAAAAATATGTCAATTATTTTGGGAACGTGGGGTAACATTGAACGGCAGGATTGAACGTGCTTGAGCGGCGTCAATCGAGTTCCATCTAAATATTATTGTCTGGCGTTACGCTACCTCGTTTTGAATCACTTGAATGAAATTCACTCGGTTCAGAGCTCAGTATAACATTGGTTGGTTTGGCGGTAGGAACATTGTGTGGTTAGGAAATTCAGTTGTGGTGCAATAGGTAGTGTAGTGCGATAATCTCAGTCCAAAATGCGTGATAACGTTAGAAAGTTGGGTAGTCGATCATACAAAAATTACACCTCTGATACTTTGGATCAAGCAATCCGCGAAATTAAAACAAAACAGTTATCACTTTCCAAGGCGTCCAAGAAATACAAAAACCCAAAAGGAACATTAAGTCACAAACTGAACAACAAAAAAATGAAGGACGTCGGAAGGCCCACAGTTTTAAACAACGACGAAGAAAAGGCACTGGTCAAGATGCTTTTGAAAACCGCTGAATAGGGCTTTCCTTTGACTCATGACGATTTACGACATGTTATGAAAAGCCATTTGGATACAATGGGTAAGAGAGTTAAGCAGTTTAAAAATAATTTGCCTGGTATCGACTGGATTAAAGGTTTTCTGAAAAGAAACAGAGAAATAAGTGTAAGAAAATCTCAAAATATAAACCCAAATAGAGCATCTTCCACTAGAGAAGTTTTCATTGCTTATTTTGATAACCTTGAGCAATGTCTAGACGGAGTTTCCCCCGATTGTATATACAATTTCGATGAGACAAATTTATCGGATGATCCTGGGTCTGCAAGATGCTTTTTTAAAAGAGGGGTGAAATACCCAGAACGTTTATTATCTCAATCAAAATCAAACATTTCTTTGATGTTTTGTGGAAGCGCTTCAGGAGTTCTGCTGCCTCTGTATGTAGTCTACAAAGCAGAAAACCTTTGGACAACTTGGACGGAAGGAGGACCCGATAAAACCAGATATAACCGAACAGCTCATGGATGGCTCGATTCTGCAACAATTTTTAAATTGGTTTACTTCTGTTTTCCTTTATTCCACGAGACATGAAGAAGGATGTCGCGGTGTTCGCACTACTGAAGAAACAATGGCGTGCAATACTCAGCGATTATAAGTTAGCAACGGGATCAACAGGTCTTCCAAAGGAGATGTTTCCAAAACTTTTAAAAAAGCTGATGTTAAACTTCGCAGAAACTGGTGAACAAAACCTTCAAAGTGGCTTTCGGGCAACGGGTATATACCCTTTAGACACAAATCAAATATTAAAGAAATTGCCTGGTACTGATGATACTGAATCAAATGAAAGTTTTGGAAACAGTTTAAACGACACAGTTTTACAATTTCTACAGGGTATTAGGAACAAAAAGAGAGCTAGAACTCAAAGAAAAAAGAAAATTAACATCACACCGGGTAAAAGCATTGGATTGGAAGATTTTGAAATAGGAGAAAGTTCTGGATGTTCTCCACCACCCACGAAGAATAAGAAAAAGTCTGCTAAGGAATTGGATAGTGACAGTTCCGACGACGAACTAGAGCTTCAGGACGAATCTGATTGTGATTTCGAGACATTTTGTGATGAAATGCACCAAGAAAAGAACGAGGAGATCGAAAGGCCAACAGGGGCTGCAGTCGTCGACGATTATGTGCTCGTGAGATTCGCAACCAAAAAGATCTTGAAATTTTTCGTTGGTCTTATAAAAGAAAAACTGCCTAATGGAGATTATGTGGTCAAGTTCCTGAGAATTGCGAAGAATTCTGCCTTCTATTGGTCAGAGGTAAATTTTTCAGTGCATTTTGCATTATACCAAAATCGATTGTTGATTTATTTTCAGATAGACGACATTTCAGTCGTAAGTTCTTCAGATTTTGAGAGACTTCTGCCAGCTCCAGCTGAAGACCGCCGCGGAAAAGTGATTTTTTTCGATCCAATTTGATGGGTATACTCTGGGCTAAAATCCTTCTAAAGACTGTCGTTTATACGTTTCCCTTATGTGTTGTCATTTGACTTGAAAATTACCAATTTATTTAGTTTGAAATATGATTTTATAAGACTGTGTAAAAGAATTTAAAGTTTAATAAAAAAGAATGTAAAAAAATATTTTGTCAATAAATATAACCATTGAGAAAAAAAAAACAAACAAAACTCGCCCCACTAGTTTTTTCTAAAGGGGTTTTCACTAGGGTTAAATTGAACGAATAACTAACCTGTGGGCTCGTAGACACCGATTTATACTACTGTTCAATGTTACCCCGAACCCGGGGTAAAATTGAACAGCAACTTTTTTATAGCTATTTTTACATAGCTACGCCCAAGAGATAATCTAACGTATGTAAAGTGTATAGTGTAACGTATGTAAGTCTATAGTGACCCATAAGTGGTATTTTTTTTTATTCGATTGAGCAACAGATACAAAACTTATTCAACAAAATATGAAGAAAATGTTCAATGTAACCCCTTTTTACGGTACTATGTTTTAAAGTACGTTCATTTTTATGAGTAATCTATTTACATTCTTTTATATATGAAGGAAATTCCAAAAACAATTTAAAAGCAAATTATTGAAAAATACTTTAACTGATAAGAGGATAATACCATAAACCTGGGCTACGTACCGGGAAAGTGTGATTTGTACTATTTTTAGGAAAATGTTATCTTTAAAGATTGTTCCAGGTAAAGAAAAATACTTTGAATTAAATACATTTTTGGTTAATATTACAACACTAAGAAATACTAAAATTTACCTTCTTGGTACTATTGACTTCTAAGAATATAAACGTATTCAATTCGTTTATTGCTTTCTTGCTAATCATTATATAATGTAAATAAATTCCAGAGGTCTAATATATATGAGTACCTAAATCTCTCTTTCTGATAGTTCCATTATCTATAGTGGAAAAATAACCTATTTTTTAATTTATTGCTTGTGTTTAGAATATTTATTTCATGCCAACCTTATAAATTTCTCTAATTAATTTGACCATTGACCATGTATTCGTTCCATTCTTGCTGTCAATTGCCAAGAGTTTACACTTTTAATGTCGCCATTCCTTCTGATCTTAGGAATTTATTACTTTCGCCATGAGCATTTTTCACCAAGGTTCACACAAGGTTTTCCACTATCAAAAAACAACAAAAAGGTTTTATCAGTTGATATTCTCTGATTGAAAAAACTTACAATGAAGTAAAAAGTTATTAAAAAAAAAGCTGTAGAGGTTTACTTTCCGGACACTGGAACTCATTCAAACCATGAGTGTATGTTACCTGAAGCCAAATCTAACTTAATATCAAACATCACATATTTAAAACAACATTATGTACTTTTTTTTGTGATACGTGGTATACAGCCAGCTGCAGGAAGTATTATCCTTATGGATTATTTTAAAAAGTCATTATTGATTTGTTACAAAATCCTCATTTTAATCAGTCAGTTTATTTATTCGTAATACAATTGAAGACTTTGGGACCAGAAGGGGACAAGCCTTTCCAAGGGGACAAGATTTCTTTAAAAATAAGTTAAAGTAGAAATCGCAGACTTTAAAAAACCATATTAATGTCCCAAATAGAAAATTTCAGCTGTTTTCGTAGATGGCGCCACTGTAGTAGGTCTCTAAGACCTAAGTCCCGTTGTGTCACCATTACGTTATATTGCAACAGAAGGAGATAAGCTACAGTAGTAATCAAAATGGCGGAGGAACATTCTCGTGCATGTAAACGAAAAATAGACATTCTGAGTTCTATTCTGAACACAGTAACCAAGATGCGT